GGGCTGCAAGCAGGTTTCAGGGGGCATATAGGGGCTACAGATCTGGCAGTCATGATCTCTGAGATCACCTGGGACAGGCTACACCCAAGCTAAGCCCACTGCAACTGCTTCGTTCAAAGAAGAACATGGATTTTCTCTTTTAAAGGAGAAAAATGTAGGAAGCTCCAGGTTTTCCCTTGCAAGCTCACAGTGTTCCAGCCTGCAAGAGGCTGCGTGGGGCTGCCAGGTGCGGGAGGAGGCCAATACGGCCGGGAGCATCATGTGCATGTGTGCACACATGCAAGTGGGAACCAGGCAGTGATGGAGAGCAGCTCCCCACAGATAAGTTGTGTGAGGGAGTAAGGGGGACATGGGCAACATGTCAGGGGGGTGGGAGAGGAGCATGTGCTCACCCCCTGATTTCTGCACCCACAGTGGGCACAGGGCTGCAGAATGGCTGGACTGGCCAGTGGGACCTGGTGGAGTGGGCAGTGAGACTTGCTGCCACTGCCAGGACCTCTGCGCCAGCCATGCAGCCAGCAGTGGGAGGAGCATTTGACTAGTGTTGTGGGGAGCTCTCATCGCCAGAGGGGAGATGGGGTGGGAGGCAGTGCGGGCAGCCTGAAAGGAGTGGCAGTGTCGTTTGCCCCACACATCCCCCCCTATTGTGGGTCAGGCATAAGGGGCGCCAGCAGAGCTGGGGGTGTGGGGGGCTGCAGGCCAGGAGTGAGGGGCACCAGCAAAGCCAGGAGGCTTTGGGTTGGGAGTCAGGGGACTGGCAGGGCCAGGGGGCTGCAGGTTGGGAATGAGGGGGGGCCTTGAGTCCAAAAAGTTTGCGAACCAGTGCAGGAATACATAATAATTGAAGTTTTAGATTGTCCTTTTGTGATTAAGAAAGTATTCTATATTGTTTTTAGACATTTTTGTGTCTCTTTTTTAGTGTAATCCCAGGTTAATTATACTTAAAAAAATTAAATTAAACTGAAGTCATACTGGAGCTGAGTTCTCAGGAAAGCTTTACCAAAAGTACATAGAATATGTTCTCATCAGAATGTTCACACAGAACAAATGTAGGCCTCTTCTGAGCAGAATGTGTGTCTATAAATGAGATAATTGTTAATAATCTTTTATTTTATCTTAATATTTTCATCAGTGGTCTGGAAAACATTAGGCTAGACTTTCAAATGGTTGAGGGTTTCTTTCATATATAAAATTGCTTTCGATACTTGCTCAACTTTATGCTTGCTTATCCAAAGCACCACGTTTATATGCAGTTCCTTGATTTGTATTTGTATGTGAAGCACAGGCATGTGCACACATTTTGAATTTTTGACATAAAAGTAAATTGCAGGTTTTATAAAAATGATTGACTAATTTTGTTCTCTGCTTGGAAACTAGTATATTCCTACTAATACCTACTGCCAGATGCTGTAGCAGGTATAGAGGAGTTGGAACTGTGACCACATTCCAGTTTATTTTCCACAGACTTGCATTCAAAGGAATACTAAGCTGTATTGGGGATCCATGTGGATGTGCTGGGGACAGTGTAAGGCTCCCATTGCATTCTCTACCATTAACTTCCAGAGAGCACCCAGGATGAGAGAGCTAGAATTTTGTTTGTCTATTGGGTGCATGCTAACCTGTTTTCCGAACTCAAACTTACACACGTTAGAAATGTAATGACTTGTATACAGGTCCTGGAAATGTGTTACATGATCATAAATGTAATGTGACACAAAGCACATACTTTGTTTTTCCAGGAGTATTTACAATGCAGCAGTCTGGTATTATAATCATTGTTTGGGTCGGATGCCAGTTGTTATGGTAACAGAAGATGAAGATGCTATCAGACAATATGGAAATGAAACAGAAGGAGTGTTTGTGATTTCATTCAAGGTAAAGTACCAAAAGAAACAGAAGAAAAGACATCTTTGTGTCACTTCGCCATCATAACAAATCAAGCACTTTTAAAGACCAGTGTATATTTTATGTCATCTCAAAGATTTTTTTGGAAAATAATACAATAATAATGTTACTCTGTGTGCATAAATGAACACAAGGAAATCAATATTATGAATATTATCAGAATTGGTGCTAAAACAGAACCTGGAAGAAAACAGCTCCAAAAAGAGGTGTTCCTTGCTCAGAGAGGCCTTGTCATCATTTTGTCATTCTTTAATTTAGTGTTAGTGAACAGTGAAAGACTGACAGTCTACATTACTGAAGTCTACACTGCAGTTAAAGCACAGTCAGCAGCAGCACAAGACTAATCCACATTGCTTTACTGGTGTATTGTAGTCTTGACTAATTGGGATTCACTATAGTAGTGAAAAGGAGTTGATTTCCATTACTTATTTTGTTACTGGTGTCTGGGAGATTGCTGGGCAAAGGGGAGATACCTCTGGTTGTAAAAAGAATGTTGCCAAGCTAATCACCTCTAAAAAAAATTATCATCTTTTTCAGATCTTTAAAGTACTTTAAAGGAAATTTGATTTTTTTTAAATAATTTCATTGTAATAGTCTAAGATACTATGCTAAAATAGTTTGTTGTTTATTTATTATTTAAAAAAAAATATCCTTTCTCTACTGTGGCATATTTGTGTTGTGATTGGCTTTTGGTGTTTAAGCTACTTTGGAGCGAACACTTGGCTACCACAGAAAAGCACTGCGTATTTAGATAGAGTGTAGTAGGAATGAGAGTTGTTACACAGAATTCTGTTGTTGTTGCAAGAAACATTGTTAACTGAAACATAAATCTCTTAAATCTTTTGTCCTCCATTTATAAATTATGTATAGAATTACTTGGATAACTTTTGGGTGGACTTAAAGGCTGCCCATGAACTCTTTGATTCCATACTTCAATCTCGACGTGAACGGGAGAGTGAAAGCCAAGAAAATAATGGGAAGGAGTATCCTGAACATCTTCCTATGGAAGTATTGGAGGCTGGGATCAAATCTGGAAGATACATACAGGTAATATATTATTTATAAAGTGTACATAGAAGAGTAAGATGAAGCTGGAGAGAAGGAACTCTTTCTGGAAGTGTTCAACAAAATGGATATGGTGGGTGGGGGTGGTGATATGGAATAAAGAAAAAATGGAAATCTCTTGTAGGAAAGAAGCACAAAAGCTACAGTATGAGCAGCAAGTAAAAGGACTAAATTGCAAAGATATTGAGCCTCTGATCTCCCTTGAATCCAGCCCAGATTATTAGTATAAAAATAAGACATTACTCCCTTATGTATTTGGTGGCATAAGTTTAACTGTTAGTGACGTGTGTCCATATCATGAAAAATTAAACTTACCACAGGAGACCAGCATTGTTTCCTTTGGCAGACTTAGGAAAGAAGCAAGAATAGAATAAGCATAGAGATTTAAATTTTACCTCTAGGTTCAGGATCACATGTGGCAGTGCAGTATAAATCAGGCTTGAAGTAATTCTTGTGTTATATCTGTTTGAATAGAGAGAGAACTGTAGTCTTCAGAGCTTTCATCAGCACCAAATAGAATTAAACATCTAGAAAGAATTCTTAGCTCTTTCAGTAATTCAGTATTGTCGGTTCTGCATTGTATATTCTCCCTATAAAGAACAGCATTATCTTATTCAAAGTATTCTGTGAAAATGATCAGAAAACGTCTCTTTAAAAATGGATTTTTAACAAGTGAGTTGTTTTTCAAGCTAGTTGTATTGAGGCATGGAGATTTTCTTTCCTTAAAGCTACTTCTATTTGTTAAATGCTTTTTACTTTATTTTAGGGTATCCTGAATGTCAATAAGCATAGAGCACAAATGGAAGCTTTTGTTCGACTTCAGGGAGCCAGCAGGAAAAAAAAAGGTGAAAAAGTTTACAAAATGTGTACAATAAAAGAGTTTACAATAAAAGCTTCCATTTCACATTATAGTGTCCCCTTCCAGCCTACTTGGGAACAAAAGTTTCCAGGCTGTCTATCAGAAGCCATGTCAGCCCCTCAGTCATTAAGATAGTGATGAAAGGGAATTGTAGAAATGAGGATGTGTAAAATTGGAATCCAAAAACAGTTCTGTGTAGACCTCTTCAAAAATAATCATCTGTATTTAGCTTCTCATTTTCTCACTGCCTGCACCTAAACTGATGGCTTCCTGTGTCCTGTTAAAGGGTTTATCTGGACCTCTCCACAAGTGGACCCTAGCGCACGTACTTATCTTGTGTGCTTTGTTTTGGTGTCAGTGCAGCCACTTACATGGCTGAAGTCAATTAAGTAAGTGCAGAAGTGAAAGCAGGAAAAGGGAAATGATGTGGGCTGATGATAGAATCCAACATTTTTTTTATCTAAGGCTCCAAACATAAAACTGCCTGATAATTCTTTCAAGAACTGGAGGAAGATTTCTCATCTTCTTGTGGCATTGGGTACTTACTAGTAATCCTTTTGGGAGCAGCTATGTAAGAGCAGCCATTTTGCTACAAACTGTTATTTCAGCAAAACACTGCTGAAGGAGGCAGTGTGCAACAGATTTATAGTCTTATTTAACTATTATTACTTCAAACTTAGATCTCCAGAGTGATATACTTATTTATGGTACCAAAGCTCGGAACCGAGCAATCCATGGTGATGTGGTAGCTGTGGAGTTATTGCCCCTGCATGAATGGAAAGGAAGAACCGTTGCTCTTTGTGAGAATGAGGCTGATGAAAAAGCATCAGGTGATACCTCCAGTGAACCTATGCCTACAGGTAAAGTGGATCATGATACAACGTAAGTTTGGAGTATTTGCTTTCCTCAACTTGCTGGACTATATTGTGGTTTTAATGGTAGGAACTGTCCCCTCCTGCCCTTCCAAAATATCCTGGTTTATCATCGAGGTTTAACATACCATACCATAATGGTATGGTATTGGTATTACACAAAATCATATTAAAAGAACGTTATTACAGTTGCAAGTCAAGCACTCAAAAGTTAGGCAGTGTCAGGATTCAGGTTGTCAGTGCAACCTTATTTCAACCTTGTCCAGCAGAAGTATTTTCATACAGCCTGTAATTACATGATCATATACAACTTTTTCCATAGCACTCCAGCCATCATCAGTGCACAAGGTAGCCCTCCTCTGGAGATGAATTGGGGCTGTGCAACAAAGGAGACTGTTGTTTGTTGAACTCCTGTGTTAATTTGTTGCAGAACCTGGTGTACGCATAATGAAGGAAGCAGGGGACAGTAGGAAGAGAAGTGATGGTTTTGTGGTTAAGGCAGTTTCCATGGAGAACTGGATTCTGTCCCACCAGTGGTACAGCGTTCCTATGTACTGTCAGACAGATCACTTCAAACTTTTAAAAGTGGTTGTCAGTTATGTTTTCCTCATTATCTGGGTGCCTCCCTTAAGGCCCTGGGCTCTGGTTTGATATTAATGGGAGCATTTTATATAATGGTTCATTCTTTGTGTCAGGTCCTAGTTATTGCAAATTGGTGCCCAAATTTAGTGAATGCTTTTGACCTTAATCACTCAATGCCTTGGGAAAATGGAGATGATAATACTTGCTCATGTCGTGGGGGTATTGTGAAAATAAATTCATTAATGTTTGTGAAGCACTTGGATGCTATTGTGCTGAGTACCATAGAAAATCCACAAGGAAAATTAATAATTCTCTTTTTAGAGCAAGATTGAAAGATGGACAGTAAACAAAGCATGGGACATGCATTGAACAGCAAGGAGAACACAAAATATCAAATAATTGTTCATTAAGAGACCATCATCCATTCTGTGCACTGAAAGAGGCAGGAGTCATGTGGAAGAAACAGTGTGGGCTCATGTAATTAAGGATGGTATAATGCATACGCACAGAGGGGCAAATTATAGTTGCCTGTGCAACTTTAATTCTGATACTTCTAAACTTTTGATTATTTGACTTTGCAACTATTGTGTTCTCCTAATATATTTTCTTGTGAGTAGCGTTCTAGCTCTCTTTACAGTGCCCTTCCCCTGAAATTCTATTACGTTGATGCCCCTATGGTCATCACCAGGGTTTGGGACCTTTCGGTCCACTGCACAGACATCTGCCATTTAAGCAAATAAAGTAAGTGATAGAAAATTACAGGGATCTACAGGTATCATAGCTTTTAGCAGAGGAATGGTGCGACTCATTAATCCTGGGTTCCATTCAAAGCTCTGGAGGGGAGTGTGACCTGGGCAGAGACCAACAGCCTGTCTTCCCCCAAGTTGCCACCTCTAACCTGTCCTTTCAATCCTGTTTCTTCCTGACTCCTGGCTCCTCATCTCAGTCTTGTCCTCCTCACTTAGCCTGATCCAGTCTCTACTTCTCAGGCTTCTTTTCTTAATTTCTTTCACCAGAAAGTCCTAATTTCATCCCTCTGGACTCCTTATTGTAGTCCAGCTGTTCCCAGTCTGTGGCACAGGTACCACCAGTGGTACATAGACAACCTGTCAGTGGTACACATTAAGGGATTTATTATAATTACTTTATATGACAAAAATTTGCTGGTGGTACTTAAGGTTGTATGGTTTTAAATTGGTGGTGCACAATTTGTTGTAATTTGGGAACCGCTCTAGTCCTTTTGCTCACATCAGAGTTAAGGGTTTAGGAGACCAGTTTTCTTTCTCCCATAAAATGCTGAACGATTTTAGCCTTGTGAGCAGTTGCCAGATTCTGCCCCACTGTTGGCTGCAGTTCAGTTGTGAATTAAGAAACATTCTGCATAGATTGTATAGTTGAGGTGTTCAACCTGTGGGCCAGATCCAGCCCCTAGCACCATGTCATCCGGCCTGTGG